GATTAAGCCCGGGCCCAACCTTATGCTTCAATGATCACACAGCTCTGGTGACCTGGCCTGAGGAGGGAACTGAACCTCTCCCTCCAGGAGTGATTATGATACGAAACTGGTTCTTGGGGATAATCGGTGCCCGAACATCGGCGTTGAGGCATGTGCAGACTAGATATGCAATCATGTTGCTGTACCACGCCAAATTCGAGTCGAATTGGTACGTTTGATTGGGAAATGTTGTGGATGGGGCTTTAATATGTTAAGCAGCTCTTTCGAAGGATCGGGAAGCATCGAATCAGCTGTATGTGAGAAATTACAATAGTTCCTAAAGTTTACGGTAGTGGTATGCCATGCAACAATTTGAAGGATCCTCAACATCCTCAACAAAGGCGTTTTGAAAATCTCTTTCTTTGCTAGGATTTATGAGATGGGAAGGCGCGAATGGGGTGATGGTTTTGTATTGTTCGTATGAAATGGGCCGCGAAAGTAGATCCTTGACCGAAATGCTGATTAGTGAGAGGTTTCCGTCTGTGGCGCTTTCCCATTTGAACGTCCCAGTGTGAATCTCAAAGCTATGCATTTGAGGGCATGAAAGAAAGAATTATACGGTAGTTTTATGAAGAGTGATTATTTGATTTTGATGATCCTCCCCATAAGAAGGTTATACGCAGAGACATTTTAGCGTCACTAACTCAGAATCAGAGTGCATGAATAAAAATCGAAAATTACAGAATTCGTTGTTAAGCAGCGACATGGGCGTGGCGAACGAATTTTGATGTCTTTTTTTTCAGAAACAAATGGATTTACCCGTGGATAAAATGCGAATACTAAAAGAGTACAATAATGAGAAGAAATGGAAGGTGGTCGTGGATAGTGTGAGTATTGCTTCTTTATTATTGCTCTCTCTTCTGATTCGTCTTTATAGACTTTTTGTTTATTTATATGCAGCAATTTTGAAGTTTTTGTACTCGCTACCCAAAAAGTTGAAAAATACTTTTATTTCGACATTATTTTTTTTTGTCCACCTTTGAGGTGAAACGATGCCGCGGTAATGTAAATGGCAGTTTATCTGCTCGAGTAGCGAGATGTGACAGGTTCGATCCTGCCTGAGGCGGATTGTTTTGCTCACAGTCCAGCATTCTTGTAGCAAATTAATATATTCCATTCTATAGGTTGACACCACAGAGGCAATTATGAGCGGGCGGAGCTCTAAAGGCGGAGAGTTCGATGGATTCTAGTGTGCCTTTTTACAGTTCTTCCTTGAAATTCTGATAGTTGCGTCTAAGAAGCGTATTTTTGAATCAGTCATTGCCTCTACCTCAGGCCAAAAGCACGGCTATCAAACCTTTTCTAGGTTGGCCTGTACAGAGCGCTTGTCGTTTCCGTCCGTCTATGCAAGCGTTCATTCACCTTTAGTGACCGACAGGCATCAACATTCTGAGGCAACTGCTCATTTTAAAGGAAATAGGATCGCTTTCATTAGAATTTTTTCACCGAATTTCGCCACTTGGGATGAACACCAATTTTATAGTTACTCAACCGCAAACCTTTGTTATCCTGCTGTGAAGTTGTCGAGTTTAAGAAATCTGAAGTGAATTTTATACAGGTACAGAATGAAGTGATTTTTTAGCAAGGTTCCTTATTTTTGGAGAAATGCCCATGTGGATCCAGCAGTTACCTGACAAAGCTGTCATATTTCCTCGACAAGAAAACCTTGAAGAAGAACAAGAAAGTGCTGGGAGACGAAACGTCAACTGCAGTTCTGAAGCATATTGAGATTTCATTACGAACGAACAGTGTCGAGTGAGTCACGGGTTATACACGGTCTACTGAAAAATCCTCGAAAACATATTCTTTTTAGCTGGGTTATACAATTCCTGAACCCACCGAATAATGGTCTTCAAGTACTTGTCGAGTATATGAATCAGCTGCTACTGGAGGCATCATCCCAATCGTATGTTTTACTAGTCACTTTTAGGTTTACCATTGAGTTGACCACGAGAAATTTTCAGATGTACCACTGAAACGCCTCCGGGTTCCTCTATGGACTGCAGTGATCATGTGATTCCGTCAAGCTCTTCAGCTTCGACAGTGCCTTCGGGGTCGCTTTTCAGAAAGAGTGAGTTTAGAAATCCCTGGTTTTATTTTATTTTTTGAGGGGAAGGGAAATAGAAACTATGTATTTTTTTTTAATTTTCGACTCAGACTTTTCATTTTGGAATAAGCCATGTACTTTCGTATAGCATATGCTATACGAAGTTATTACGAACTTGGTGAAAGCTGCAATCGAACCTGTAGCACTGTTGTCATCCGTTTAGCTAACTCACGATAGGTTGGTTGTGGGTTTTAGAGCCTAGAAGCTGAGGGTTTAGCTCGCAACTACCATATTAGAGTAGTATCATATTAGTTAGAGAGAGAGAGAGAGCTGAAGCAGGATGTCGATGTATCATCCCTCTATCTAGTTATCCAAACGTTTATAAATTTCCAAAGTGATGCTCAAGAAGTACAGGGCAGAGCTGACATTGACTACCTGATTACCTCTCGTTTTCAGGCTAGGGAAAGTGTGCAGGGGTGTGCAGTACTTATACGTTGAAGTCGGAGAGCATGTAAAATGCTCTCAGGCTAGACCTAGGAGGAGTAGATTGCTTTATAAATCGTAACATTTGGTTACCTTTGATGTTTGTTTGGCCAGCCGCACCGCCTAATTGGCACAACACCATAGGCCAGTCCTCAAACAAGCATGCGTTATCCCTTCTGGGTTATCTCTACCCCCATTTGAACGTTGATCAAGTCACCTTTACGCCTTGGCTTTTGAGTTTGAAACAAGCTTTTGGAACATTTCATTCCTCTTTGTCGGTGTATCTGTACAGTTAGTACTTTTCTGTGACTGATTTTTTTTGCATGTAGGCGGAAAATAACACTTGGATTACAAGAACATTTGCATGTTTGGCAACTTTTTCAAGGCAGCTGTGAATCATTTTCAGAAAGTTTTACATTTTCAATATATTTATTTTCAGATCATACAATAAGTGGAAGGACAACAAAAGTTAGCAAAAATGTTGGCGAGCTGGAAGATGATGTTCATGTTTGTATTATGTGCCTTAGAGCCATAATGAATGAACAAGGTACGAAAGATATACTTTGTTTGGATTTTAGTTAGTGCTGATTGCGCGTGCTTCTTAGAAGGTTGGATTAAATGTTGTTTCGATGAGATGGTGTCCAGATTTTTTATTTCAGCGCCGGTTTCGAGAGAGTTCTCGCCGGATTCGCGAGGACAAGTTTATTGCATGTGCAAGATACTTCATCAAAGCCTTCGGTGAGATTTTCTTGATTCTGTGTCAATGTTTTTTGTGCTACTTTTTTATTGCTGATTCTTGGCGCACTTCTTGTGCGCATATATGCCTACTTATGTACCCTTGATGCTGCTGCCTTCGTTGTGGAAAACGGACGACCTCAGGGGATGTTGCTGTCACCTAGGTGTCGCTAGGACCAATAGCGACTTTTTCACTGTGGGAACCCCAGAGCCAGCCCTGGTCATGGGTGAACCTGGGGCTTCCGCAGTAAAACGCATCAAACTGCAGAAAGTGAGAAAGCCGCTTTCTGTCTAGCAACCCACACCCCTGTCGCTCAGGTATATTGAGACCTGCACTCAAGACTGATTACTCACTTTTCACTACAATTTGTGTTGGGACCGTCAGTTAATATCAGAAAGTTAAAGACGAGTAGAAAAGTAAGTGGAATGAGAAAGGAGGGATTCCTCGGAACGGTCTCAGTACGGGTAGAAGATCTGATCACATAAACCTTTGCGACACTGTCGGATCTGCTCTCCTTCACCCGTTATAGAGTAATTAGAAATGGAGATCATGAAGGAAATGGAATGTGAGAAAAGGGAGGGTTTCATTTTCGGCCAAGTTGTTGACTAAACAAGGCTGAAGCCGTTCGGATACCAGCATTCGAGACTGGTAGATGTAACAAAATACCTAAGAGAAAGACCCCGGCCTGTTGCGGAACATAGCTCAGAAGTGTTTTTTGTACTTTTTTTTAATCTTTAGCTAACGCCTTCCTAGAAGTAAAGTGGATCTTCTACCAGAATCTTTCATCGTCTGCGCAAGAAATGGGAATTAATGTTTCATGTTGGAGAGTCCAAGCGAACTAAGGCAGTGGTCCTGGAATGGGTGGGTTGTAGGGTTGAAGTGGGGGTGGGGGGGGGGAGTGCAACAGGAAAGCCGTAAAACTGGCATTTGTTCGGCAAGAGAAGTTCATTACATTGATAATTTTGTCATGGCTAGTGGTGATCGACCCGAATCTACCTTTTTTCTATCAAACGCTTCATAGACCTTAAATACTGGTGGGTTTCCAACAGGGTTGGGTTACTTCAATTTTTTACTGTAAGCTTGTATATTTGGAAAAATTTGGAGCCCACATCTGAATTCCTCGATTCAGAACAAAGACGTTGGTGATGCAAATGCTGTCGTCGATATGCATGGTTCAAGGTGGTCAGGAGCTTGTGAGCGATGCGTTCGATCAGTTCAGATTGGTGAGAATGTCCACATTTCATTATAATTTTTGGTCCATTCGAAAATCATCCACCTTTGGAAGCTGTTTATCAGTTGTTTTTTTTCTTTTACCTACCCTTAATCTATTATTTTAAGCACATGTATGGAGAACCATGAGCCATCGTGTCCCAAACTTAAGACTTATTTTTCAGGATTATCGTGAAAGGCATCGTTTCCAAACGCTGATGTACTTTATACGAAATCCACCTGGTTAGTGGGATCATTGCAATATTTTTATCAATTCATTTTGCTCTATGAAGTGTTTTATTACCCAATTTTTAGAATTCCATGTGGAGTTCCTTTCATCGGCCGTACAGTTCTTGGATATTTTCTCATCGGTAGAGGATTTGAATCAAAAAGTTTATCTACAATATGAGATGCATCTGCTCGGACTCGATGATTTTATCGACGTGAGCTTGACTTACTGTGCCATTTTCGAATTTTTCTACCGACTTTTCTAGAGAATTCCTAGCGAACATACTGGCGGAGGTGAGCTGACCCCCGAGAAACTAGTTACATTTCGCTCTCGGGCGATCAGCAGACCCATGGTTATCGAATTTCATTCCTTTCATGCTTTCAGGAGATGGCAGAATGCATGTCGGATGAGCTGCAGTCACGAATGTCCGCATACGTGAATGGAGAGAGTGGACGTTGCCGCTCTTGTTGAAGACTCGCAGCAGAAAGCACGTCTGATGGAGGAGTGCGAGCAGCTGAAGAGTCGACTTTCACAGGTGAGCCCCAAGGTTATCCAGTGCGTTGGACAAATTTTTTGGGTCAACGAACTTCGAGACAAGATCCTCAATTGTTGGTTCTTCCATTTGGTCTTTGATGTGATGGGAGATCAGGTGATTTTATTCCCACCCAACATTCAATGCCCAAAAATTTTATGCAGCGTAAAGGAGGAGAGAGTCACTATATCACGGAAATTCGATATTTCAGATTTTTCTCACAATTTTCCCACTTCTGAGGAATTCTGTTTTCTAATTTTGCAATAGGTGCAGACACGTTATTTCACCGAACTGAGGGGTACCCGACAGGGAGGCCTTCGTGCGACAGCAGGCAGAGCCAGCGGATCGATCGCCAGCACATTAGTGTAGTTTATGCGTTAAAATGGAGTGCAACTTCTACTTCACACATCGCGCCGCTGTGACTTCGTCCGTTGACTTCCTTCTTGCCGCGTCGACGGCCTCCTGGCGTACGCGAATACGACGCCAGGGTGAATAACGGTCGAGGATTTCCTCGACCATAGCTCTCTACCATGTGAGAGTAGTGCCGAGAGTGAACATCCGCGCGGAGAGCACAGACGGCACGCCCATGGCGAGTGTGAATGTCCGCGCGAGAGATCGTGTCTGACCGGGCAGAGAATCCTCGACGTGCCGTTGAGGAATCCTCAAGCGATATTCACCCTGAGCGAGCCTTCTCCTTTCTCGGTAAATTATGGGAATAGGCCAACTGTTTGCCGATGTAAGTTATAAGAACTTCGAGCACGTCGGTAAGCTTTAAGTCATCCACTATCCTCTGTTATGGGTGTACCAGCCAGCGGTAATGATCGAGATGGATCATAGAAATCAAAGTGCACAGAAATAAGGTCCTTTAGGTGGAGTCCACGTGGTAATCATGCAAAAAAACCACATTGTGCTCGATTATATGCTTTTACTTCTCACATACGGCAGCTGCGTGTAATTGGAGAGCAACAGGAATCAGGGGCCTTAACGGTAAACATTGCATTAATTTGAAAATATCACATGTCATCTATTACTTTTGAAGGCGAAATGAACGAGTCCAAGAGGTGGAGGCAAAATGGATCACGGACAAGGCGGCGCTGGATCGGAGGTTATTGGATCTTGTACGAGAGCGTGAAAGGATGCAGAAAGATTATGAAGTCCAAGAGGGAACGTGGAAAAAGACGATCAGTCAGTTTTTTTTTTAGAATTATTCATTTCTTTTTATCTCCTTATTTGTCCATTCCTTCATGATTGGATTGTATTATTCTGTCTATAGATATAAATACATTTAATGCGGATTTCTTGGAGTTTCTCAAGCTTTGAGATTTTGATTTCAGGTGAAAAAGATCGTCAGGCCCGAGAGCAACAGTCCAGACTTGAGCAGAAGATTCAGGAACTGGAAGCAATTCAGAAGACGATGCAAGGTATGAATTGGACATTTTTAGTATTTTTAATAATATTTCCTCAATGTGTTCGGTTATGCAATGCAATTTCTATGGGCTTTTAGCTGGATTACAAGTTCAACAGCAAGCGAAATCTCCGCCAACTCCACCTCCTCCAGCTCCAGGTCCACATCGTGAGAATGGAGCACCACCGCCGCCAGCTCCACCTCCTGCTGGTCTTCTGGCCCCGGTAACTGGTGGGCCTCCAGCTCCACCTCCCCCGCCTAGTCTATCTAGTAAGCACTGTTTCTGGATCACATGCAATTTTTAGGGATGTCTTATCTCTATATCTATAATTTAGATGGCCCGTCAGCCAACGGCGGACCACCACCCCCACCTCCGCCGCCACCACCAGGATTCGGTAAAGGTGGGCCGCCAGCTCCCCCGCCTCCAGGTTTCATGATGAATGGCCCTGCTGCAGATACACTGAGGAAAGACTTATCAAACAAGGTTGGTGGCGATATGGATAATATTATTTGTTACTTGTATTGCTTTGAGTGAAAAATTTGAATTCATTCATCGTTTTCTATCTTTTTTTTTCAATTTTGGGATTTTTTTCTGACCTGAATCTCGTCTTGGCGTGGTGTTCGCTTCTGGGAGGAGTTTGTCTCTTTTCACACTTTTGCTTTTGCTTTCACACTTGCGCTGCTGTGCCACACTTTTGCTCGTTTAGCTCGCTAGATTTCTAGGTAAATTAGCCCCAACCTCTGAAAAGTGGCTAGTGGAGGGTGAACGGCGCCAATCACTTTTTATCACGCTGCATAATTTGAGTTTATTTTAGGAATAAGCTTCCTCAGTTGAATTGGACAGCGATGAAGCCGAATCAGGCGAAGAATACGGTCTTCGAAGATCTAAACGACGAGAAAATCATAGAGGTAGAAATTCTCGTTCATTATTGTTGATTTTCACTACGCTTACAATTTTTATTTATGATATTTTTGTTTATCTTCCTGTTTTCTCTTTCTTTCCCTTTTCTTCATTTTATCATTGTTCATTATTATTTTTTGGTTTTCTGTTTAAAAGTGATTCCTCTTCAGAAACTGGATTTCTCACACCTGGAGGAAATGTTCAAATTATCACCTGTAAATAACAATAACCTGATGGAGAATGGTAATCGATTAGAAGTATCCAGTTCGACGTCGGTGATTGGTCAGCACAGCCCTGGATCGACTGGTAGCGGACCTACGAAGAAGAACTCGCTGTTGGATACGAAACGATTGCAGAACGTTGGTGAGTACTGAGGAAGCTAAAAAGGGACACAATTGAATCAGAAGCTGTCTTTTTTATTCTTTAAACAGCAATTTGTGCATCGTCATGAAAGTTCTGTTCTCTCGATATGAAAATTATCGGGTTTAGCAATTAGCTCGTCGTGAAACTGCGCTCGAACCTCGTGAACTAATGGCTGCTGTTCACCAGATGGATTTGAACACGTTGTCTGCTGATAAAGTAGACATTTTATCAAGAATCCTACCTAATGATGAGGAAAGAAAACTGTATGCGGAACGAGGAGACGATGAGGGGCTTAGTGATGAGGTATGTGGACAACATATTGGAAATGGGCTTTGAATCGTGTTTTGCTAGCCAGGGCTAGCCTTGCTTGTGGCGCTGAAGTCATAGTCGCGGCGAATCGAATGAAATGTGATCGCGTTATTACTTTCGGAGTCTGGAAAAGGGCAGGGCTTAGTTGCGGAAGTCACAGAGTGACCACCATTCATTACGGTAATGAGTTATTTCCAGGACCGATTCATGGCGGCATTGTGCGAGATTGAACGCCTCGAGCATAAACTGAGCGTGATGCGTGTGATGGCCGACTTCGATGAGAGCGTTGCGTTACTGGAACCGGTGGGTCTATTGTTTATTTTGAAATGAAGTCGGATTTATTGAATTTATCAATATAACAATTATGATTGGTTTTGCTTCTAATTAAATTTAATTAATTTGATATTGCGGAGGGTCGTAAGGCTTTCGTATATTTTTCTTCAATTTTGGATTTTTGTTAAGTTGTATGACGTTTCAGCAGTTCACTCACGTAACAGCGGCATCGAAATGTGCTCGTGAAGCCACAATGTTCCATCGTGTACTAGAAGTGATTCTGGCCTTTGGTAACTACATGAATAGCTGTCGTAAAGGAAGTGTGTATGGTTTCCGTTTGAGCAGTTTGGACTCGGTAAGCTTTTTATGTCTTAGATGCGTATCGATTGATTTGTATGGTTGCTTTTTCCGCTCTATACTCGCCCTATTTCTATTTGATCTTTGTAGTTGGCAATAATGAAATCGCCGTCGGATCGCTCGTTAACACTTCTTCACATGGTCGTGGAATCGATAGAGCGATCGTTCCCTGACTTGATGAAGTTCGCCGATCAGCTGAAGTTCGTCGACAAGGCGTCTGGTGGTGGGTACCTCATTTCTCTTTGCTTTTTTTTCTATTGGAGAAAGCAGTGGTTGCTGATGGCTACATAAGCTGAACTGTTTTTTGAAGACCTGCTGACAAGTGCCAGAAAGAGCAGCGGATAAGGTCAATGTGTGACCGAAGCGA